CACACACACACACACACACACACACACACACATCTCTCTCTCTCTCTCTCTCTCTCTCTCTCTCTCTCTCTCTCTCTCTCTCTCTCACACACACACACACACACACGCTCTCTCTCTCTCTCTCTCTCACACACACACACACACACACACACACACTCTCTCTCTCTCTCTCTCTCTCTAACCTACCGTACCTCCATGCCATACAATCCTTCCATTCACTTGAAGCCCACGACTTTTCCGCTTTAAATGCCCATTAAAAGTCACTCGCGGAGAGTAGAACTTTTTAATGCTGCATTAAGCTCAAATCGTCTGGCAATACCAGACAAATTCGCCCAAAATTCTACGCAGTCTTGTATTAACATGTGCTTAGGCCACACCTTCAGTTCTTTGATCTTTTACTTCATTGGAAACATTACATTGACCCGCATCTGGGTTTGTTTGAAAAATGCTGTGTTGCAGTAAAATACTCTAGCTAACTCGCATATTAATAGAAGTTGCTGAATTAATCACGATATTCTTGCCTTAGTGCATCTCTAAATCACGCAAATATCAACTACTAGATCTGGCGTCATATACAAAGTACAGTGTTGTGTATTAGGAGTCCGAGTGAGTTTTCAGTGTTTGAAAAGGCGTGTAGAGTTCACAAATAAAATTCCCAGACGTTTTAATTAATTTGATTAGAGTCGATTGCTTGTGCACTCGACTAGTTTATGACCTTACCTGTAATTATGTAACTTAAGTGGACGTGTGCAATTTGAATAATTAAAATTAGTATGTACCGCCAAATCATGCAGCACAGAATCCAGAATTGTGATAAGAAATATTGAATAAAAGACGTTCAGAATTAATATCGGGAGGTCAGACGGAAGAAGACTCGAAGGTGACCGCTCGACAGAGCCATGGGTCTCCCAAGCCGTCTCGGCTTAGAAGTTGGAGGCTGCACGTAGAGCATGTAGTTAGAGAGTGTCAACCAATAAACCACTAAACTGGCCATTATGTGGACTTGAGTTTTCTTTGCGCGACCTTACGTAAATCTGACACGAACCGGGGAATCTTATCCACTAAGTTAGTCTAAAACGTAATGTCCTATTTCGAGCCCACGCTTGAATTAAGCGTACAAAATTATATAAGTTTAGGACATTCATCTCATATGTATATGTAAAGGTACATAACATATTCCTGATATGTCCTTTTTCTCTCTGTCCATATTTGTAACAGACGGTCTGCATACAAGCACGTACAGTGCTTAATGGCACAGCACTCTCTTAAGTTCTGGCATATTACGAAAATCAGAGAAGTTGTAAGAGCCATTGTTAGCAACAAGGGCAATCGATTCACATTTACATACCTCTTTCCGTCCGCTTGCGTTAAGATATATAAGCGCTGTGAATACACATGACCAACCTTTAACAGCGTGAAAGTACTAAATAATTCATACGCCGGCACGTCACAGCTGGTAGAAACATAACTTAAGCGTCTGATTATGTGG